ATAAAAGTTAAGTGAGCATGTCTAGGACCAAAGCTGCTTTGCATTTTGGCTCTGACCAGTCCAACATGGCAGAGGTCCATATAGCTCCAACTCTGCAAGCCATTTTCAGACATATGGAGGATCCATGTTGCCATTAAGAAATCTGCAGTCAGAGGCTGGTTATTCGTTCCCAGCTGCCTAGACCTGAAATAATCACACAGAAACTATATTATTTGCAATACCGTTTAGCCAATAGCTTATAGGTATTTCTAGTTAGCTCTTATATCCTAAATTAACACATCTCCATTAGTTTGTGAATCACCATGAGGATATAGCCTACTGGCAATGTTCCAGCAGACTATGGCAGTGGCATCTGTTTCCTTTAGCAGCTACTTGGTTTCTCACTGCCTCTGCCTACTTTCTCTTCCATCTCTGCTTGGAGTTTCCACCTTACTATATTCTTCCCTGTAAAAGGCCTAAGTGGCTTATTTATTAAGCAGTGAGATTTACAGGATACAGAGGAAAATCCCACGTTATGTTAATACGGAAGATCTTATGTATTGTACATAAATACAATAATGTAATGTATCTTAAATATAAAATCTAACATATTGAATTATGTGAAATGTTTTGTGATTTATATAGAGCTTAAACTAATATTAAACATACAAACTATACTTCAGATTCCTTTTTTAAAGGAAAAGTAATGTTATAGTAATGTTATCCCAGAATGTGGCTGCCTGAGATAAGAAGATAGTTTGAGGTAAGTCTGTTACATAGCATGAATTCAAGAGCAATTTGATCTTTTAACTGAAAATTTGGTTTTATCATAAGGTTATATTGTACCTCAATTTTAAAGTGTGTGGTTCTGGTTTTAGATCCCTTGCATTAAAAAGAAAACAAATTATAAAACTAAAGAACTTCACTTTTCTATTTTAAACAAAATAAAACAAAAGACACACTTCCTCCACAGTGAAAATGCTCATAAAATATAATGGAATTAAATATATTTAGCATAATTGCAGCATGTATATAAGTTGATAGCAACTAAATCTAAAGGATGAAATATGGAGCCAAATCTAATTCCCTTGCTTTTTTAGATGTTCACTAAGCAAACCAAGTCAGTAGTTCTGAGGTCTTGAGAGATGAAAATGAAAAACTATATTTCTGATTTGAATAGTGAATATGAGAGTTTAAATTCAGAAAAAATAGATAAAACTTTCCATTATTTTCTTTTAAAAATAAATTCTATTTTAAATTTTGAACATTGTGAAAAGACACCCTCATAACAGAAGAGATCAACTGGCCACCTGCAAGGACATAAATGCTAAAGGAATCACAGTGCTCTGTGAGTTGAAGGTGGATCCATAAGGAAGTCAGATCAAGTGCATTGTTTTTAGCAGTCCTGACATTGTTTCTCTACTTCCATTTTAATCACAGAACTGGTGGTTACCTGTAGAACCTTGTAGATCTGACTTTCATCAAGCATATGTATTAGAGAGAAAGAGCAGAGAAGGGGAGTTTGGCAAGCTTATTTGCCAGACATAGAGGTCCATATTGGACTCCTTTCTATAGAAGTTGGTTAGTCCTTGCTGTCTTCTATCCCCAAGCTATTTTTTCTAATCAAGCAAGTCAATCATTATCATAATTTGAAAAAACTTAGAATTCTTAAATTAATGTTAAAAATCTTACTGATTCAATGTAAAGCTTTTTCTCATACATAAGATGATGAAATTGAACAGGGAAATTACCATCTGCTATAAACTGGACACAGATATTGGTTTTAAGAAGCAAAGGTCTTAATACAGCATTATAAATATCTTCACCAAATCTCAGGAAACAAGTGTGAAAATATAAGGCTTCCCCATAGAAACAGAAGCAGAAACAAATGAAAATTTTATAGTTACAAAGAAATTCAATAATTATTTTTGAAGGAGGAAGCAGACTATTATCTTAAAGATAAATCAATAGAATTTTTTAAATCTACTAATATAAATGTAATAACTTGAATAAAAATAAACTCTCAACCATACTAAGTGCAGAATTCCTGTCATCAGTGTCCCTGCAGGACTGGAAAACATAGAACTAGTGAAAATTTAAGAACATGCAAACTTTAAGAAGTTCTAGAAATAGCAGGTGTCTGTAGAAGACCAATACTTAGACTCCTGCTGCCTATTATTTGTAATAGCCAGAACCTGGAAACAACCTCAACAGTTTGTTGAGTAGTTTTGTTGTAGTAGAAGCCCCTCAACAGAAGAATGGATCAAGAAAGTGTGGTATGTACACACTTTAGAGTTTTACACAGCAGTAAAAAACAATGACATCTTGAATTTTGAATGTGAATGGATGGAAGTAGAAAACACTTTACTGAGTGAGATAACCCAGACCCAAAAAGATGAATATGGCATGTACTCACTCATAAGTGGATTCTAGCCATAAATAAAGGACATTGAGCCTATAATTTGTGATCCTAGAGAAGCTAAATAAGAAGGCGAACCTAAAGAAAAACATACAGTTATCCTCCTGGATATTGGAAGTAGACAATATTGCCAGGCAAAAGTTGGGTGCACAGGAGTGGTGGTAGGATGGGGGTAAGAGGAGATGGGGAGAGAGACGTGAGAAGTGGAGGATTGGGAAGCTTGGGGGATTGGGATGGTTGAGATGGAGGAAGGGTGGATATGGAAGCAGGGAAGTAGATATCTTAGTTAAGGGAGCCATTTTAGGGTTGGCATGAGACTTGACTCTAGAGGGGTTCCCAGGTGCCCAAGGAGATGTCCCAAGTTTGTTTCTTGGGCAACAGAGGAGAGGGTGCCTGAACTGGCCTTATCCCATAGCCACACTGATGAATATCTTGAATATCACCATAGAACCTTCATTCGGCGATGGATGGAGATAGAGACAGAGACCCACATTAGAGTACTGGATTGAGCTCCCAAGGTCCAAACGAAGAGCAGGATGGAGAACATGAGCAAGAAAGTCAGGACCGCGAGGGGTGCGTCCACCCACTGAGACGGTGGGACTGATCTAAAGGGAGCTCACCAAGGCCAGCTGGACTGGGACTGATGGAGCATGTGATCAAACAGGACTCTCTGAATGTGGCTGACAATGAGGACGAACTGAGAAGCCAAGGAAAATGGCATTGAGTTTTGATTCTACTGCATGGACTGTCTGTGTGGGAGCCTAGTTTGTTTGGATGCACACCTTCCTAGACCCGGATGGAGGAGGGAGGACCCTGGACTTCCCACAGGGCAGGGAACCCTGACTGCTCTTAGAACTGGAGAGAAAGGGGGAGAGAAAGAGTGGCAGGGAATGGGAGGAGGTGGAAATTTTTAATAAATAAAGTATTGTATACATGCATGAAATTGTCATAAATAAAAATTTATTTAAAAAGTAAAAAAAAAATGAATCCTGCTGCCTTGTTAACAGAATATATGCTGGCCAGAAAGACTCACAGTGAGAAGGAGAGTCATCTTCCTTTATTGAAGTGACCCCCGAAAACTTACTCACAACCCCATAGAATGATGGTCCTACACCTCTACACAGTATGCATCCCTAAGGAAACTAGTAGATTTTTGCTTGTTTAAAAACAATGATCAAACACAATACTGCTGTGACAAAGTTTGGTTCAGGAGACAGAAAGTCATCAAAAGTGAGACAGTTGGTGTGAACTTGAGCAAAACACATTGCATGAGTGCATGAAATTGTCAAGGAATAAAAATGTTTCTCTCTCTGTGTGAGAGTATGTAACTAGTGATCAACTTGGGCATCTTCCTCAAATTCTTTTCATGTCTTTTTTCTTGTTACTTATTCAAGTGTCAGTGTCATTTTTTCTCCCCACATTGAAGAACTATTTCCTATCATGTTTGAGATTAATATAATCATATTATTTTCTTGTTTGTTTTCTTACCCTCCAAGTTCCTATATAATATTCCTTGCCCTCTTTCAAATTATGTCCTTTGTTTTCATTAGTATTTAATATGAATATATTTACATATCTATATATTCTTAATTATAACTTATTCAGTCTATGTATTATTATTATTCATATGCATGTTTTCAGGGTTCACCAATAAATTTTGAAAAATCAGTAGGTATATTTTTATTCTGGGGAAGATCATTTCCCTTATTCCTTTGCTGTCTGGAATACTTTCTGTAATTTGACGCTATGGCCTTTCCTTTAAATACATTATTAAGCATATTAAAAGTCATATTCACTCAAAATCATTGTAGCTACATAAAATGAAACTAGAAATATATACAAAAACATAAGATGAAATACATCAAAGGCATGTAAGCTCACTAAATTGCTTCCAAGTAATCTGTGCTAAACAGAAGTCTGTAACCCTAGAAAATCACTCAAATAGAAAAGGAATTAAAATATAGCTAAAATATTTTGAAAATGTGTATCAACTAAATTATCTGGTAATTAAAGCATTTTATAATTATTAGAATATCAAAAAGACTAGTTTGTGTAAATTCTATTCTAAATTGTTTAGCAAGAAAAGAGCAAATTAAACCCTAATGTGACTAAAGTATATTATAAAGGCAAGAGCAAAATCAATTGAATTGACAAGAAAAATGCAATGGACAAAATCAATGAACGCAAATTCTGGCTCTTTGAGAAAAGATCAATAAAACTGTTAAATTTCCAGCAAGTCTGAGAAAGCAAAAAAATAGTGCAACTTGTGAAATTTGGAAATGCTAAAGGTTTGCAGCTGGAGACCATGCAGGGCTAAACAGAAAATTGCAAAATATTAATATTAGCCACTCTATGCACTAGCAAAATTTATCCCAAATGAAATTAAAATATGAATTGTCCTACACATGTTACAGGCATCAAATTCCTGGAATACATTTTAAAATGTGCAAATGCAATTATTTGATTAATTTTAAGAACTCTTGTCTCCAGATCTTCTCATTGTTCTCTAGAAAGTAGAAAGGAAACAATCCACTGACATTAAATACCAAACTCAAAAACAGAATAAACATGACAGGAAAATGGTACAGTAGTCCTTCTTAATTTAAAAATAATGTTCACCACATTCCCCTACTATCACAAACCCTGCACTCATGCTTTCTGCATTTGGGGAAATCATGGAGATCAGAACTTTCAGAGGGCAATGATTAAGTCTCACCCTGGAAAACAACACCACCATGGTCGTAGTATTTCCTCTGCTAGGTAAGTATGGCATAAATGGGAAAATTTAAGTAGCTTAATTTTTAGATCTTATTTGCCATTTAAGTAGCCTAATTTTTAGATCTTATTTGTAAATTTTTGTGCATGTTTTCCTTTCTCTTTACTATTCTGGAAGGTAATTCTAGATCCCATACAAGTGTTGTACTGACATATGTACTTAATACATAGCTAATATTTCTGATATAAATTGGGAAGTTCTTTTCTTTCCTTCAGATCCTTCCTATGTTCTTAGAGGTTTGTATTTTATATGACTCTGTTATTTTTTTTAATAGATCAACTGTAGGTCTTACACCACAAGGACTGCTCTACGACTGTCACTATCTCAACCACACCCTCTGCATTTTCAATAAAGAGATTTATGCTTTCACGTATTGGAAAGTCTTAGGTGAATACAGTATATATTTGATATTTCCGAAATGTGCAAAGTTCCAGATATATCAACTTATCTGAATGACTTTGATTATTTTCTATAGTCCCATCATCTGCAAGAAATACATTTTTATAAACACTACTTATACACACTTTTTATGGCAACCATCTGAGAAGAAATGTTGAGGCATTTTCCACATTTTCAGAAACCATTACTTTATTTTGTGACATTTGCCCATTATGTGTGTACTTTCTCACTTATTAAAAGTAAATTGCTTTCCTCTGTTCTCAAGCTACATCCTAACATTGATTTGATGTCTTGTATACAAAATGTAACGAGTGCAAGATGAGGATAGGAAGACTGAAGACATTGTTGTATCATTACTTTGTTTTAGTGACAAATGTTTTATTTAAAACTCTCTGAGACAGCTAACCAATTCATCCTAGAGTGGCGACAGTTTAAAATACGGATATCATTGTAATATTTATCATCACCGCAGCTCCTTAGATGTTTCATAGGAATGTTTTGTAATGTTCGTTTTAGTGATTAGTAAGCTGAAAAATTAGGGATTTGATGTGGAGGCAGTTTTAGAAAAAGAGGCATTATATTTACTCCTTAACAATATATTTTCAAAAGTTGCTATAAATACATTAATTTTTAAAAGGATAACATACTAAAATATATGAATGTTTCCAAAATATTCAAGAAAAGTATGAAACACAGTTATTAAGAAATAAAACTAAGATAATCTTTGAAGTTTTAATTATAAGTATACTCTCAAAATTACATTTTTGAAGCAGTAATTTTATTTTCAAGATGAGATGAATTGTCCTCTTCAGTTCCTATCTGTATATTTGGATGTAAAACCTAAGAACCAAAAGAAAGTATTAAAGTGTGTTATGAGACATGATGCAGTTTGTTTCCATATTTTAAAGTCTTTCAACTAATGTCTATAGAGGTTCAAACCCAGCCCAACAAATATGCTTCCAATTAAATTAACCCAACTATGTAATTTATTTCCATTATAATTTGTGCTTTATTTTGTACATATATATTATATATTTTTATTTATTCTCAGCTTCAGCAAGTCAAATAAAGTTGTATATACACATGAATTAACTAATATAAGAATATTTTTGTAGAATTTAAATGTAAAAATTAAGATAATTGTCTACATAATTTTACATATATAATTGTAGGGTAAGAATATTTGAATTTCCACATTTTACTTTTAAATTATAAAATGTATTGTTACTGATACTATCATACTCTTGAAACAGAACTTAAAGGCTTGTTTATCAAAGTTTTACCTTGTGACCTTCATTCCTGTCATTTCTTTTATCTAACTATATAAATAATTTAAGTCAACATAGGTGGTTAGAAACTAGGACGACTAGAAAGACACAGTATTTTCTCAATATAGCAGAGCAGTTTACATAAAATTAACTTACAGCAGCTTTAACATCATGTTTAAGAACTTTATTAGCAAATCCTATCATTAAGTTATGACTTAAATGTGAAATACCACTTCCTGCTTTGAAATTAAAAGAAAATGTTAAATGTTCTGTATATTTGTTTTTCTAGTAGTATTGCCCTGAAAATTTTTTCACTGTCCAAAGCAAGACCAAATGTATAAAATTTTGGAAACAAAAATTTCTACATTTTATTTAAGACAAAAAAGGAAGAACGTTGGTTAGATTGGGCTGGGTGTTCGATCTGTGAAGAGTAGGGGAAGGTTTGTAAATGTGATTTTAAAAATTGTATAAAATTCTTAAAGATATTGTTTCTCTTTGAAAAAATACCAAATATAATTCAAAAATATAAATAAATTAGTCATTATGGAAAGAAAGAAGATATATTAAATGTCAGTTTCCTGGAATGCTAGGAAAAGTTTAAATATTTCAACACTAAATATTACTACATAGAGAAGAGAGAACACAATTGATAATATGGGGAGTTTTATTAAAGTGCTAAACAGTAATTTTATGAGATGTGAATCTAGTTAACATCAATAGTCATGTTTTTTCTTTCTTTTGCTGATACTGTTTTTCATTAGAAGTTTACTAAAATTTCAATAATACATTTTCACAAATAAAATAAAAAGTACTAATTGGTATTTGCAGGACTAAGTTAGATAAAATTTGATGTTGCGAATGCTACTTTAAGTACAAATTGCAAAAAAATGGCAATGTTATCAAAATTTAAGTTACATTAAAATTCTAAAAATATTTCAATTTGACATCTCTTGTAATAAATCTAAAGTGAACACATTTTTTCTTTCAAGTATGACTGCATTACAAGTACAAAGAGAAGGATTTAAGTTGTTTATGTCACATAATCAATATTATTTAAAAATCAAAGTTATTTTTTTATCAGGATAGTATCTAAATTGAAGGAGCATTTGTCAAATGGGATTACATGAAGTACTGAGACTCTCAGTAAACGACGCTCTTCTGTTGGCCTTAAGAGCAGATTTAGTACTTGTCTTTGTCATCTTTAGCATGTAATCACAGACATGTCAGTGATAAAGACTCAAAAGTCAAGTGCAACAACCTTAGGATGAAATTTAAATCCCCTGAAACTTTGATTTCTCACATTTCTTACTTGAATCTTCTTTGAGGGTTTAATACAATTTTCACATTAGTGAAGAACAATATTTGTAAATCACTATGAAAACATGGAATGTTTTATATATTACACATTTTAAGAAGAAAACATATTATTTTAATAATTTATAGTATGGCATTGAGTTCTGTTTAGATAGCATATTTACGCATGCACTATACATATAAGAACATACATAGAGCCATGCACATATGTGCATCTATGGATGAGGCAACATAAACTGAAAAGGTAATCAAATGTGTCAATTATTATACATTCAAACTTCAACTTTTGCTACTTCAGCGATATTGAAGATTTTTTGTTTAGTAAAGATGTCAAAAGGACTTAAAAAATAAAATATCATAAAAGTATCTATACATCTTTTTTTACTTATTAGCAATTTTTGTCCATTTGTGCTGCTATATAAACAAATGAACAGTAATAACAACAGATATAATGTGTGGGTTCACTCGTCAATATCAAATAGAAATTCATTGATTTACAATTATGTAAACCAGAAAGACTTGATGATCCCACTGATCCCTTGAACATCCTGTCATCACTTTAATATCAAAGAAAAATGCATAGTCCTTTACATGTAGCAGTATATTTAATAAAAATGGGAGCTTTCTATAGAGAATCAAATAATAAAAATGCACTACAAATGGAGAAATCATAGATTAAATCTATAATAATATTTAAGGACATACTAGACATAAACAATTCACACTAGTCCTCTTTGAGGAATAAAGACAATTATTAGTGATTATTTAAGTAGATGTTCAGCAAGAGACTTAAAAAGGAGAAATTAAATCAATTTTGAGGCAATTATAATATATAATTTTTATTAATATAATCCCTTCACAATGATATAATTTACTAAAGAAATTTAACATAGAATACATTGGTAGTTTGTACTGAATTGATATACAAGGATTAAATTCACTGGGCAGGAATACAATGACAATGATAATAAACTGGATGTTTTTGTTCATATTTGTCATTTATCCTTAGTCAATTTTCATTATACTCTTTTAACATTTATTTTGTGATTTACATGCATTATTTTGCTATAATCAGTGCTATGCAGTAGATAAACAAATCCCAATTATTAAGAGGTTGATAACAATTTCTTTCAACTTTCTTTTCCTTAATTTCCAATTCTTATGTTAAATATATTTTCATTAAAATTTATTTAGAGAATAAAGACTTAGATTTTCTTGCATAATATTTTTTTCATGTAGAAAATTGAGAGGACTATGCAATTATATTTTCATTTTTTAATGAAATTCACACTAATATTCCCTTAAATTATGTTCTTTTAGAGAAGTTATTTTACCCTGAAAATAAAATAAAAGAGTGTGTAGTAATAAAAATTATAGACAAAATGAACTAAATTATATTATCTATTTTCTATTTATATTCTGACTCACAGAGATAACATCCAGAAACTCCTCAATAAATTTAGTCACGGAATTTTTATTATGCTCCTCTTACTATTTCACCAAGTATTTAGAGTCCTATCACTTTCCTTAATTACAAAATTAATTTTATTCATACGAAGTTCTCTTCAATAAATCCAGGAAAGCTCAAAGAAATGGGGGAAAAGAATGACTTGGTTCAGACCTTGAAATTGGAATAGAAGCAATTACAAACAAAGAACAAGAACAGAGGGAATCTCAGCTGGAATACATTGGTAAACGAATAAAACATTGTCAGCAATGTTGTCAGCAATTGTCAGCAATACAAGAGATAGATAAGAAAATCTGAGGCGTGCATGATAGAATAAATCGATACATTATAAAAAGAAAATTATAAGTATAAAATGTTCCTGTGTCAATACAGTCAGAAAATCTGGGACATTCTGAAAAGACTAAATGAGAATAATAGGAGAGAAAAGATCTCATACTAGCCATTTAAAAGCACACCCACACATCTAGAACAACAACAAGGAAACATAGCAAACTTGAATAAACGACATCAATAATAATCAAAACCAGGGCTGAAATAAATAAA